GCGGCATAGCTTTATGCAAATATCTTAATTTCAAATGGCCTTGCCAGATATACAAATATGGCAGAGAGCATACCAAACATAATAATGCTCTTGTATTAATCAACTATTAAGATCATCTCTTAAGCATTCATATGCATTGCTGTGCAATACAGAGACCTACACACTGTTACATCCATATTCTATCGGTAACTAATACTCATTTCCTCTTACATAAATTCAGTAAACAAAAGGAAGAAAAAATTTCGATATCAATGAGATTATATTGAAGTTCAGTTTGGTGGAACAGAAAAGTCGACTTAGTTCCTGCCTTTTATGAAAAATTCGTGATCGACAATGCGAGACGGCCTTACTTCGATGGGAAGAAAGAAAAATGGAATTGCAAACAATGAAGTGGAAGGAAATTTGTATCACAAAAACGCTGCACACGCAACTAGTACTCTTGTCGTATTCTTTGACCGATTTGTCCTATTTTCAATACTGTGCAACGTTCCTGCCAAATTTGAAGTCGATAGCTTCATTTTTGCGGCCAGAAGAGTATTTACAATAGACATTTCAATGACGGACAAATGGACCGACGAATATGTTCAAATCCGTTCGGAATTGGACGCTATTTAACAAAATCGTCTTAACAAAATAAATATTCGCCTCATCCACCTAGTGGATGGGTATAGAAAAGCAAAACATATACAAACGACTACTAGTTATCTCATAGTAAGCTAACCGAAATTTTCGATTTTATTGTAATCTGCTTTATCTTTTTCATTTTCGTAGGTTTTTTTTCGATATTAACGTTATATTTTTGAGATTCTCTTCGAATTGTTTAACGGCTTAAATTGTCTTATATAATAAATTCAATTATAAATGGTATTATTATTCAATCATTATTATTGAGCTTTATTCGCTATCGGTTATATTTGTTCTCATTCATTGGACTCTTGTAGGAGTATTAACGAAAATTCATATTTTTAATTTGCCAGTAGATAAAATAATAAATAAATAAATAAAGTTGTGTATAAAATTTTTTATATTTTTGAATATATTTTTATCGAGATTTTCTCTTATTTTATATATATATTGCGGCCATAAATCTTGCAACTAAGCGGTCATTTGTATTCTAAATCATATGTAAGCCGCGCTATAATAAATACATGCACGAAAAATATATAAAGCCTTTATATATATATATATATATATATATATATGTTAATCTATATATGTGTGCCAGGGTAGTACTGGACTTTGCTTTACGTTCGGTTGTATAATAAAAATCATAAAATTTAAATTTATTATAATAAATTCAAATATAGATAAGAAAAACAAGCAAAAGCTGGCTCATGCATCTAAGGAGCAGCAAAACACTAATTGTGTACCCAAATACCAAATATCTACACATAAGTATGAATAACTATCGATTATAAACATGTGCAGCAGCAATTGGGCTTTAAGACTCCATATTTATTTGAATCCGATATACTTTCAGAGTCGTGCCCTCACACATTTGCAGATGCCCGTGCGTGTGCATGAATCCCATTATAAAATGTTATTAAATACTGTATAGTCTTGCACACAGAAACACATGTGCACTCCCACATGGTATATATAGATATGTACATGCTATCAGCTTTATATTCATCTCTAAGTAAGATACGAAGATACACTAATTTTGTCAGTCTATATGCAGCACTCAAAAATATAAAAACTATCATAAATATATGCGTCGTGTACAGCGTCTAACTGTACAAGAGATACTCTCTGTGAACGTGCTTATCTTGGCGCCAGTTCTTTTATTTCGAGCGATGTCTCAGATTAGAAAAATCTTCTCGCTATGAATTAACGATTTACAGTCTAGAGCAGCTACTCCCTAACATGGGCATTTGGAGTAGGGCAACACTAGGCTCCTATGCACGAACATTTTGCAAGTAATTTGTTATATTTATAAATGCATATATATATATATATATATTATATTACATGTAACATATTATTTTATGTTGTGTTTTGTATTATTTATTTTTACATTATTCCAGTGCTTATGGCCGTGTTAAAAACTACAAATTGATCAAAGGACACTATAATCTACCCTGGGATTTCCCGACACTTTAACAGTACTCAATGTCTGGTTTCAAACATTGGTGTGACTGTACTATTAAAATTAATTGCCTACTGTAGCACAAAATGTCGAAATCCACAGCGCGCTTATATCAACGAATCACGTTCGCCGTAAATATTGCTTTCTATCTTTTTTTCTTTCTTGTTAATCCACTAGGTTTTTTTCAAACTTTTGTGTTTCATTTTACTGCGACTTTAAGTACAATCTTATTTTTAATTAAATATTTTTCAAAGTTATAAAAGAACACATCTACTCTTAAACTTTTTAATTTAATTGAGCTTAAGAGATCGGATTAAGAAGCAAATACATTTTTATCTTATTTTTCATTTATCTGCTCATTCGAGGTTATGAGTGTACAATTTTGCCTCTGGAAATTCTACAAATTTCTTACCTAATATGCCATTTACTGAAAGACGTAGAAGAGTAAGGCCGACGAGCAGCGGATTCGATTTATTAAATTGACCATACCGAACGATCCCCGAAGTATATATAATTAGTACAGAAACGAATGGGAACGTGCCTCTCAGTTCTTGATCAATTTTTTTGATTCTAAAAATGGATTTTCGGTTTATTGGTGAATTGGTTTATTCGGCTGAAATTCTGAAAATCGCTTTGAGAAGACAACTGTTAAAGCGGATTAATTGGTATAACAGGTATAGTGCTAACTAGGGTGTTGGAACCTTGGGGTACAAAATTACGAGTTAATTTGTAGAATTTGTTTTTGGAAAACCAATAATGAAGAACTATTTATATGAACTCTTTGGCGGTATTCGCACAAGTCGCAATTTTCTATCGACAGCAAGCAAACTAAGAAAATATGTAAAATGTTGTAGCGTTTGCAATGAACAGCATAGAAGTTTCAAAAAAATTCATTTACAAAATCGAATTTATGTAAACCTTTTTTTTTCGTGAAAGAAACTTTGCAGTATAAGGTTCAAGTTGAGCACTCAAAAGAGTCTTAGGCGCTTCACTTTACAGTAAAAATTTAAGATCAACAAATTTATAATTGGAAAGTCCCGAAAATGTCGGGCAGCCAGAACAACTTAGTTTCGAGAAGAAACTATTCACGGTTTGAGTGGTGGGTGGCAACATAGAGGGTTCAATTTCCATACAACCCTTTAGATGTCACTCTTTAGTGAAGAAATAACTCATCAGAAGAAATAACTCATCAGGTCGTATTTACTTAAGTCAAGTGTTCTTTTACTAAAAATTTTAGTGCAAAAATAGACAAAATAAAAGACGGCAATTGCGTGAGAGTCATATCAAATAGAGGGTAATGGAGCGCCTACACAAGATGGCAAACGATTCCTTTTTATTTAGTTGCACTTTTTCAATAGGTATGTAAGATTCGTCTTGACCTTTCTTTACTATGTTTCGATGACTCTGTTAAGAAATGCTTTTTTATTGTTATGCTCTTTTTTAAAATGAAGTTATTATTATTCCTATAAATTTCATAATGAAGCGTTTCGTATTCCAAACATTGTTGAGTGACTTCTTTAAATGGCCGGTATTTTCTCTTCACATTTATTTTCCACAGTAACCGCAAATTGATATCAAATACGATAAATTGTCAAATGAAAATCCATAAATTTTATCTTCTTTCAAACTTCAAAAAAATGACAGTTTTTATGTTATTAAACCTTTCCTTTTTTTCTCTGTTCTTTCCCCTTTACATTAATTTAATTTCATGCAATGTTAAGCAAAACATTTGAGCTGAATACTTTGGCATTTAAAATGCGATTAAATTGTCATAATAATTTTTTGGAAGAGTGGAAAAAGAAAAAAACCAGAAAATAAAATTACAATTAATTATTTTCGCGGTTTTTGAAGAAGAAAAAAATTGAATAAAAAATTCATTAAAAAAATAACTAACGAAAAACAAATTTTCGTTCGCCTTGAACCGAATCCTGTATATTGAACGTTGAACGTCATGAATTTTTTTGTTAACGATGCAATTCTTTTTTATTCTGCACTTTTAAATGGCTCATATAAAAATTCGAGACAACTTTTATGCAGATACAGCCATGGACACATAAATAGTTTAAGTATAGTCAACATTTTTTTAATATAACATAAAGATTCTATTCTTAATTGATGGCGTTGTTTACCATCTCTACCGAGTAATTATTGCACCACAAACTCCCTTTCACTCTTTATATCTTAACAAAGAGGGTGTTCGAAGCACTCACACGAATAGGGCAAGAAACTCGAAAAATATACAGATGTCTGTGAGGGTACACTACCTTGAAAATTAAATCTCACCGTGCGATGACAGACGGGCTAATTTTGTGCAACCGGCGCCCTCCAAAGAGTTACACAATCCCTACAAGCTTGAGGCCTAAACTACACTGGAGAAACCAGATATGTTAATTATGTATGGCCCAATAAACCGACTCTGAAAACTGTTGAGACCTATCATTGCCTACAATTACTCGCTTTAGGAATGATAGAAACCTCAACCACCACGATATCCCCCGAAGGGTCGTACGCAGCAGTCAGCACTCAAACATTCGTTAACTGCTGCGTTCAAACTGGGGGCTGGACATACTAGCTTTTACCGCGTTTTCCACATTTGTGTAAATATGCAAGCTTCCCCCCGTCTGGAACGATTATGAAGAAGTACGCCGTCGCTTCCAATGTGTCGATCATTAGTCAATCTTTAACTTCAAAAATCATTTGGGCTATCTGTGTGATCTGTTTAGGCGGAGAAAAATTTGAAGTTTCTTCCTCGCCGTGCTAAGTTTGCAATCGAAAACACGTCCACTAGCCGGCAAAACCACAATATTGGAAAGAGTTGTGAAGATTTAATTTAAACATTTAAGTTAGTTCACGTGAGCAACGCTTACGAAATCTAGTGACCTCGAAATGTTTGCAATTCGTGAGGCGGGTATTTTTTAAATTTGTTATTTTGTTGTTTTATTTAACATTTCATAATCTTTTAAAGTAAACAAATTGCTTTTTTCCTCCTAATATTTTCGCAATTGATAAGAAAATCATGAATATTTTGTTTTGTATTCTAGTTTTCGATGTAGATAGCAATATTAATTTGTTTACATAAGTACAAAAATGTATAAATCAAAGGCTGCCTGCTTAGTCGCACACTTATGACCTTTTCGTAATGAAAATCCTATGGAAATCAAATAATAATACATTAAGGGATAAAGTACTCTCATAACATAATTAGTTGCATAGAAAAACGTGTTAGTCTCTTCCAGTTCTTTGGTAGTTTTTTTTAATAGTAAAAGCGTGGTAGAGGTTTTTTAATAATGTTTACCCCTTTCAATTTTCAAACTAATTACTGATCTTAACTTTACAGAATAACAAACGCTTTATTAAAAATTTTGGGTATATCAATTGATTTAGTTTACGTTCAATAACCGTGCTTTTTGTATCCACCACCGCCGTGACTACTACCGCTACCACCACCTCCACCGCCACCGCCTCCTCCAAAGCCTCCACCGCTGCCGAATCCGCCACCTCCACCGCTACCAAAGCCACCCCCGCTTCCGAAACCTCCCCCTCCTCCGCCACCACTACCAAATCCTCCCCCTGAACCACGACCACCACCAGAACCCAGACCACCACCAGAACCCAGACCACCTCCATCGCCTATAGCTCCACCGTGACCACCACCTGATCCGAGGCTCCCACCAGAGCCTAGACCGCCTCCAGAACCACGGCCTCCACCGGAGCCAAATCCATCACCCAGACCTCCGCCATGACCACCACCCGATCCAAGACCCCCACCTGAACCCAAACCGCCTCCGGAGCCACGGCCGCCACCAGAACCCTGTCCATCACCTAGCCCTCCGCCATGACCACCACCTGATCCAAGGCCGCCACCGGAACCTAGACCGCCTCCAGAGCCACGACCGCCACCAGAACCGAGTCCGTCACCTAGACCTCCGCCATGACCTCCACCGGATCCAAGACCACCTCCAGAACCGCGACCGCCACCAAACCCGTCACCTAATCCTCCCCCAGAGCCGAAACTTCCCCCTGAGCCCCGGCCACCGCCGGAACCGAAGCCATCGCCTAAACCTCCACCATGACCTCCACCGGATCCACGACCACCTCCAGAACCACGGCCACCACCAAACCCATCACCTAAGCCTCCGCCGGAACCGAAACTTCCTCCTGAGCCACGGCCGTCACCAGAGCCCAATCCGCCTCCGTGACCGCCACCTGACCCAAGACCACCTCCTTGGCCACCGAAACCAAAGCCGCCAGATCCAAGACCACCGCCATGGCCACCTCCGGAGCCTAGGCCGCCACCTCCGCCACCCCCACGTCCGCTACCAGAACCAAAACCACCAGGGCCGAAACCGCCACCGCCACCACCGTGACCATCAGAGCCAAAACCGCCACCACCACCACCCCCGGAGCCACTACCAAAACCGCCGCCTCCTCCACCTCCTTTGCCACCGAAACCAAAACTACCTCCACCGCCGCCTGATCCTACACCAACGTCACTACTTTTCTTGCCGTACGAGCCATACGGCACGCCATTGACAGCGTCATGTAACACTGTCAGCGCAATCAATGTTACCTACAAAAATTATATAAGATATTGATGCAAACAAATCTGTCCTTAAATGCACTTTTGAGCATTCAATAAATGCTTACCAAAAATTTATTCATTTACTCGGCACAGTTCTCTTTGAATGGTACCCTAACAAGTGAAGCGCAATCTATAAATGCAGGCCTTTTTTATACTTTGATTAGCCTAAAGATGCTGTAATGATTTTAGAAATCTATTGGTTATGTGTGTATGCACGCTGATTAACAGAAGCTACTTTAAATTATAAAAACACGAAAAAAACCACTATTTACTATAAACACTCTTTATTTACATTCATATGTAAGGGTGACACTCTATCAATCATTTGATTGTGGTCATTGTTGTTGTTGTACTGTTGTACTGATACATATCAATTAATTCATTTTAATCGAATTTTTCAATGCAATATGATTGCGCTATGAGTTGAGCTGAGGGCAATTGCAAGCTCTTCTTTCTAATGAAACGTATTGAGGGAATACGGACTTTTTTGTATACATTTGATGTATTTTTAAAATAATTTATTAGATTAACAATGATATATCGATGGTTTTATTTAACTTAAACGGCTAAAGCGCAAAAGCTTAAATTACGTAATAGCAATACATTATGAAATTTGAAGCAAATAACCTTAAATAATCTTTTTAATTACGGCTGCACGACTTATAAGTATAGAGAGTACCGTGAAACGTTCAAGAGAATTGCAAATTTTTAGTAAATTTTCTATTCATTATATATTTAATGCAAAGGGAAATCAAGTGAATTTTGGAATTTTTAAAATATTAAACTTATGCGATTTTTTCATTCATACTTAATTTAATAAGCTATTATTAACTTGGAGTGCATCCTGGTAGATAGATTTCACAGACAGTGGTTGACTGCATTAATAACATTGAATTAACTTAATCGCCATGGATTTACAATAATTAAATATATTTGCGTTTTATTGTTTAAATTTATATTTATTGTTTATATGTGAAATTGTCTCACATACTTAATTATTAGTGGTTTTTCATACGACAATATATAAATGCTTTTATAAGTCATACTTGGTATTAGCGATTAATTGGAATTTTTCTTTTTCACTATCAATGACAGCTTTTATAGCATATTAGGTCTCAAGGTCTTTACAAACGCGAAAATGAATGAGTACTCGTACTGTTATTATTAACTACTTCTTAAGCATCCGGGTTACAATATATATAAAACTGGAATTGAACGATGGACAGACTTTTCTGCGAATAAATTTTATTTATAATGTGCGGTCATTAGTTAACATAAGCAAACACTGCAGATAACTATTTAAGAAAATAGAGGTTATTGGCACCTAACACGAAAATACATGCACGACTCCTACAGCCATTAACCGTACATAGATTTGTTGAGGAATCTCAAAAAAATTGAAAAATATTTTATTCGGAAATTGCGTCTATCGGTTCAGCGTTTATGCAATTTTTATGACAAATACCAAAACATATACGCACCGTCGTACACACAAGTCAACGAAAAGAAAAAAAAGATAAAGCTATTTGCAAGATACTAGATAATGTTATCGGTTAAGAAAAGAATCTTTTTCATTATCTTGGTAAAAAATTTTTAATGAAATCTGTGATCTAAATTTTACCGCATATAAATAATAACATGATTGTTCCTAAATGCAATGAGAAGAGGATTCATTTATATAATTTATTTGTTAAGGCAACAAATTCGTCGATGATGAATATTTTCAGAGAATTTATGCGATCGCTACTAGCAGCCAATAGCAACATTATAGTCTGGCAAGGCCGACCCCCATATACCCTCCGCGTAGCACAATTGTTCATTCGTTTTCGTAATAATACATAAAGAACTATATCTTGTTTTCAGGTACAGACATGCTTTTCATGACAACCCTTACATTGGAGGATACCCAAAATATCCAATTGACATAGTAGAAGTTTATTAAATTTAATTTAATTCTTTGTTGATCTACATTCATTTGCGATATAGAGATTCAATTTTGACGAGAGCACTTGCAGAGAATGGAATCCAAAAACTGGACCCATCTGGTCCATTGGAAATTGTTCAGTTTTATTTCAAATTACTATTATGCCCCGAATTTCGTTAAAATATATTAAAAATGAAACTATTTTGTTGTTTAAGAGTTGATCTTCCCTATGAACCATTATAAGGAGTGGAGTGCAACAGATGGACATTCTTAGCTCAAATTTATAACGTTTTAGTTCATTTTAATGCGAAGTTACTATTGTGGAGCAATTTTCACCATGAGACATTGAACACTAGATGGCAGGGCGTCTCCCCCCACGCGATTCAAGTTCTCCGTATCAATTTACAATGAGGAAATGTTAATACTCCACTCAAGATAAGGCGGGGTCGTAAAAGTGGTCGGACCTAATCCATTTTCAATAGGGGTTGTCCAAAACACGCAAGTAAGCCAAATATTGTCAAAATATCTCGAAATTTTCAATCAAAGAAACCTAATGTTCCCTGCACCACCAATGGGGCAGCATACGAAAATTCTATTTTTGAGTCCATTCCGTTCAATTCCATTTTGGACTATTGGAATATATAAAACACGATTAAGAGTCATGGGACGCGGAGTGTTTCAATGACAGTTTTTTGTTAATTCTTCATTGCTGTGTGTTCCTCTGCGTTATCTAGATCTAAAGATATTGGAAATGAAAAGATTTACAACACCTGTGTAGGCAATACCATTACTTCTGATATTGAAGTATTTTTCTGGCCAAATTACAGAGGGGAACCAATTTTGGGAAATCTAGATGCAGCTCAGTAAGCATGCAGTAGTACAATTAGTCTCAAATGCTCTAAATCAGGAATTCATTAGATACTTCTCCCGAAACGGAAGCTAAGTAAAGTCGATATTATTTCTCGTCTGTGAATTCCCTTTACGATTATATATCGGCGTACCATTTAGGGTCGCAGATCAACAGATAGATAGGTACGCATTACCAAGTAGTGTGAAAATATCGGATTTTAACGAAGAATTCAATGGTTTCATTTAATAGTTTTAAAGCGAGTAGTACCGTCGGTTGGTTGGTGATTATTTGAAGTGAGTAAAGTGTAGACATCTTGACCCCACTGACAGACCATCAAAAAGCATTTTTGCTTAATGTGGAAGTGCTCCTATGCAAGATGCGAACGTGTTCTCCATAAATAGTTCGGCCTTGTTTGGAAACCAATTAAGTATTGCGAAAAAATGACTGAACGAAGTTCTCAAAATCTCAAATACTTTCAATTATCGGCTTTTACTGTTTTGATGAAATCGAAACGAATTCAATAAACGAAGGGAGGGACAAACGGCCAGGGCTAAATAACTAGCATGTTTGCTTGCTGATCGCGAACTCTTAACCCTAATATTCTACTAGTATTGTTATCAAATGCCAAAGCTTGTTGCCGAGGATTATCTTCCAAGGTTGGATTGAAAAAGTATATATTTTGAAGTAAATTTCCTAACCATCACAGAATACATAGCAGCGGTATAAACCATAAAATAAGAAGAGCTTTTAGTAAGAAAACCACTGATTCGTTTTCGCTTTTTGCAATGAGCCCTAACCTGTGCTTCGCTTTCATTAATTTGTGCAATGATGCTGGCAAAATATTCAGTTACCCGATTGCACTCATTACTTATGTATTTTCCGCAAATAGTAATTAATTAATTGTGGTGCTCATTTAATTTGTTTTAATAAAAACCAAAAATATCAATATTTACTCCGGTCTGGACTGCTGTGCTGTGCTTGCCCTTTCATTTATAAAAGTTTGTAACTTTATTAAATGATTTCCCTAATGAATCAAGTGTTAAATAAAAAAGTTTTTAAAAAAAAAAAACGAAAATCAGAGAAGTTCATGTAATTAGAGCCAATGGTTTGGTTTGTAAAATGTTTACATTAGAGTTTCGTACGATAATATACATTACATACATTTATATATATATATATTATATATATATATATATATGTACCAAGTACACGATGTAAACAAACTGGAAAGCAACCACTGATAATATATTAGATAAAGCAAATCAGAATAAATGGAATTTATATGGAAAGAAGATAAAGGAAATGCGAATTATTTTATTTATTTCTCTTTGTTTTTTAATATTTTTTGTTTTTACTTCCTTTGTTTTATTTTTAATTAATTAATTTTTTCCATTATTTATTTTATATTTTTTAACTTACAGGGTATACCAAAATTTACGCAAGACATCAATTAAACAAAAAACACAGAGTCATTCTCTTTTAATTATCCTTTTATTATATCAATCGCCCGTCTTTCCGCCTTTTCCTTTGACCTCTGCCCATGTAAATTTGTATTCAACTAGCAGATCGCGATTTTTGAGATATTTTGATGACATTTCGTATCCTAAAGCGTTTTGACTCAAACATATGACGCTATTTAAAATGGCTCGGATCGGTCCTCTTGTTCGTCCATTTATTTGAAAGAACCTTCATATTGAAAAAAATGCAATATTTTTTGGAATTTTCCGCCAAAGTCGCTAAAGTTCTAAATTGGCATGAAAAATTTTGTTCGGCAGGGATCATATTTTGAATACCCTTCCATATAAACGTTCCTACGAAAACGGAATCTTTATATGGTAAATATGTGTGTTTTTAAAATTTCATAGTGAACATTGATTCATAAGAGTAAATTGAAAAAGTAATCAAACTTATCGAACTCGGACCACGTAGCTTATTTTTTGAATAATGGTTCGCAGAAAATGAAGGCCCTTGTACACCAAAGAAGCCTAAGACGTTAAATCTTCTCCTTCAATGCACGGGTGGTCATGGGCTTGTTACCGCACAGCGTTCTTTCTTTCTTCATACAATCTCATAAAATAAAGTCCAGTGGTGCCAATTATTCCGTTGACAGTTGACAGTTGAAATTTGCAAACTGCGGCCGCCAAACTTTTATTAGTCCTAAAATATTGTTCAACCATGAAGGCCCGTTGCACTCTCGTGTAAGACCTTCGTCACTAACCTTACACTGTCAACTGTGACATTGTTTCCTTTTTTTATACTCTGTCGCACTATTGGCGTCAATTCATGTTTTGCCTAAATTTTGGTACACGCCTGTATATGTA